AGGAGGGAGACTTGGGAAAGTGACTTGCTGACTCTGCTATTAAAATTTGGAAACCTCATAGCATTTTGCTGCCTCTCTCTTGCTGAGATGCACATCTCAGCCACATACGCATGGAATCTTGGTGTCCATAACCCTAATAATTGAGGATCCTGATCCCTCATCAGACCTGCTGGAACAGCTCTCCAGTTCCATGTCACTGGAGGTGCTCTCCCCACAGGCATAATAGTGCTAGCACTGCGCTCAAGCTTGGTTTGTCATCAGCTCACTTGGTAACTCCTGCTCCTTGAAAATATGATGTTAGTTATGGACCTTCCCACAGGCAGATCCACATCCTTCACTTTCACAGGTCTGAAAACCTCTATTAATACAAAATTGATCTGGGTCATATTTCCCAAGAAAATTCCCTACTGCCAAGCTACTGGGTAGTGTCCAGATGTGCTTAGTTCATTAAGAAGATTGTCCAAATGTCTTCCTTTCAAATAAAAAAATAACAATTCTTGACATTAGATGTTCAAAGGAATAGAAACAAAGCTCTATTGGTCCTACGCCCAGCCCTACCCCAGTACTTCAACGTAAAGGACACACAGCTTACCTCCACAGATGTGCTGACAGCACTGTAAAAGCAAACTGTAAATGAGAAGTCAGGTATCAGGTAAAGAACAGCGGCCACTCTTCAACATTACGTCAGCTGCAGGTACACATCAGTTACCAACTGTAATGACATCAGATCAATGTAATTAAGTGGTATGAATGAAGTTCTGCTCTCAGTACACAGTTTACTTATGTATGCAACTTAAGCTTCAGAATCTTCATTATTCATGCTTATTAGGGAGGAAAACCCACTAGTTACTGCTACTCAGGATGGCACAAACCCTCACAACCTTCAAAGGAAAATCTCCTTCCTGGAACAAGCCCCATACCACATTGAGTCATAACTGGCCCACGCCTGATCAGACGATTCTCCTTAAAGTTGTTTCTAGCTTCACGCACTCCCACTGTTCTTTGTCCCATTGCCCATTTCTACACATAGTAATTTCTTTATTTGCACTGGACAATGTACACCAGACTTTGGAGCTGTATTATGAGGCCCTGTTAGGGATAGGGCACGACAGACACATTAGAAAGTCACAAAACAGCCTGGACTCAGCCTTGCTTTCACTGCAACTCTGTGCAGTGTCACTAAGCAAGAGGAGACAGCACAAAACGGTTATCCTGATCTTCTTTCAAAACTGCCCAATGACCATCACTCACTGTATCACTATGAAATTGTCTGCAGTGGGGCCAAAGAATCAAAAGTTCACAAGGGCTGGTGCCATAAGACCGATGAAGAGATTCAAGCTTTTCAGCCATGCCACTAGCAAGAAATCAGCTCAGCACAGCGTAGGCTCAAAGCCATTTCTCACCAGGAAATACATAGGAACCACAACCCCAAAAGAGTTGGGAAAGTCTCAGATGCAGTTCCAGAGCCGCAAACTCACCATTCATGGGCAGACTTACAAAAATGCCAGGAACTGCCCTTTGCAGGCAGATTGAACAACTGCACTGGAACCACCAGACTGTGCCTCCTTGCCTGGTCCAGGTACCTAGCTGATAGCATCGTACCAGGGATAAGTGCCAGCCTTCTACCAAACCAACGCTGCTTTTCTTTCCCCAGCACCAGGTCTGGGTTTTTTCCCCTAAGTGCGTCTTTGTGGTTGCCAGTTAGTTGCAGATATTCAAACAAGCCCATTATATTACCTGCACAAGAAGAACCATGCAGCATTGCAGCAAAGGCATCAGTGATAAGGTTTGCAACCCCCCCGTGACATAGGGTAGTATCCTAATTTGTACCAATAGAGAGACAAGCAGGCAGCAATAAGAAATGACATATCCAAGATCACAAATGGAAGATGCCCCAGGATCACACTTACCTTTCTACAGGCTTTTCTTTAGGCTTGCGGAGTGCCATGGAGTTTGGGTGTCTCAACCATAGCTTTCAGTCAGGTTCTGCACTTGAAAAAAAATCATCTACCTCTGTATGTGGTATGTAAAGAAGGAGGTACTAAATCCAAAGGCAGACATTCAAGCCACAACATACATAGAGAAAACAGCAGTATGAACATTTATTGCTAATATTACTTATTAATATTAGTACTAATTATTATGCATTTGTCTTGTGGCAGTGCCAAGTGCTCCATGGACAGGGGCTGAAGGCTCTTGGTTTGGAAAGAAGACAGTGTTGCAGTGGGCTCATAGCCAGCAGGGAATTGTTAATGGCAAGAGAACGACATGAGAAGTGCTTTGCTAAACTCAGAGCAGCCACAAAGGTTACACCGGCCCTTTGGCTGTCCAGGGGTCTGCTTGTATGGAAGAAGAGGGCACATCACTTAGAACAGACCAAGTCCTTACTGTTGCTTGGTGAACTCACCACCTGCTTTCCACTAGCAGAGTAAATGCCAGCAGAGCATTTTGAACTCTTTCTGAACTCTTCACATAGAGGTGGTCCTGTACCAGTAGGACACGAGGAGGTA